TATCTTGAGAATCTGTTGCATACAAATCTTGGATTTTTTGGAGTCCTTTAATTGACCATTGTCTAAAAACTTCATCCTCTCTTCCAGGTCTGAAATCCTGGTTTCCCCACATTGGTGTAAACTGTGACAATACAACAGGTTCCTTCATATATCTTTTTACATCATACAACACTTTGACCATGTTCTTTACCATTGGATTTTTCGCCTTTTTAATCAAGTTTATTGCTGTGTCTGAGAAAAAATATAAAGGTAAAGGTGGATGCAAATTAATACTTTCCATCTCTGACCATTGCGGGGCGTTGTTTAAGTCAAAATAGTATCTTATAGACCTGATTTGACATGCCCAGTAATACCACTCAATATTTGGACACATGACACCTTGTCACTTTTTTTTAATGACTACTGTCCTGTTACACTAATTCCCATAACGATGCGCTTCGAGAGACTGGTAAAGGACTAACTACATCATCTCCTCACAGCCCCCTGTATTTGAATCATTACAGTTTGCTTTCCAGCTGAACCCCTCCATTGAGGTCATTTCTTCTTTTCACATGGGCTTGGCACATCTGGAACGGTCACGTGCAAATGCTTTTTGTAGCATTAAAAAAAGTGCCTGGATGAATGGGGGTAAATGAATAGTGCCTTGAGGCAACTGCTGTTTGGCACTGTATAAATGACATTGAATTAAACTGAATTGAAAGTGGGTGAATGAAGCAAGTTGTTTAAAAAGCGCTTTGAGTGCTCAGAGTAGAAAAGTGCTATATAAGAACCAATCAGTTTACCATCATCAGGGACTGTGCCCAACCCCACCATGCACCGTTCACCCTTGATCATCAGGATCAAATTAGGCAGCATCTGCAATAGTTTCATTACACAAGGGAGATGACCAGCAGAAGGTATATTTCAGCTGTCTGCCGCGGATTCTTAGCTACATCTGCACTGGACATCTGGCTGCTAAACCACACAAGTAGGATCACTTTCTGGCTGCAACAATAATCCACGGGGAAGAAATAATGCAAGAAATAATACCAATAATATACTTGGAACAATCAAGAAAAGAACATTTTAATAAAAAACAAACAAAACTAAAACTCAACCTAGCAAATATAAAAAATTAAGAATATGAGAAAGTGAAAACTCAAAATAACAGGAAACAGAATACACATTATAAAGACCATAGATCATCACAGGAATCGCTGGTTTACATAGTGTAGATGGTGCCATAAATAACTGAAGTTATTTATGTTTTGTGCTTAGATGTAGTTCCATATCGCTGTTTTTCTTTTTTTAGATATAAAACTTTTTGCATTCATTAAATGACAGAAACAAAAATCATAAGCTACACTGTTTTAGAGATGCTTGTGGTGGAGATGTCTGTTCATGACTCATTTTATCAGAATGTTGTTGACTTACAAAAGCAAACTTTTCAGTTTCCTGCTCATCTTTTACATTGCTGGCATGCAGCATTGTTATGAGTTTTTGCAGTAAGTTTCTAAAGATGAAAACACTTAACATCAAGTTGTTGGGAAACTATCCCTGTGATAAGATGATGAAGGCTAGATTCATATATATTTTAAAATCACCTGAGAAATTTTGACTTTTTTTGTGTGATGGACATTAATTATGGTAAATGGCCTGTATTTATATAGCGCTTTACTAGTCCCTAAGGACCCCAAAGCACTTTACATATCCAGTCATCCACCCATTCACACACACATCCACACACAGGTGATGGCAGCTACATTGTAGCCACAGCCACCCTGGGGCGCACTGACAGAGGCGAGGCTGCCGGACACTGGCGCCACCGGGCCCTCTGACCACCACCAGTAGGCAACGGGTGAAGTGTCTTGCCCAAGGACACAACGACCGAGACTCTCGAACCGGCAACCTTCCGATTACAAGGCGAACTCCCAACTCTTGAGCCATGATCGCCCCATTACTTTCAAATGTTTACATAGGCTATTATTTTGTGATCACAGCCAGTCTGATTTTCAGTGAGGGAGATAAACGTACGTTTTGCAATTTATTAGCAATGTAGATGTATTATTATTATTATTATTATTGTTATTGTTGTTGTTGTTGTTGTTGTTGTGATGCATGCACAATCATCCAGCTAAGAAAATTCCAAAAAGTTGATTCTGTTAATCTGGATGTGGCATACACATACCATTCTAAATTCATATAAAACTGAGTTTCTTGTACTCGACCCCAAAAATCTGAGAAATATGGTAGGTGACCAGTTGCTTAATCTGAATGGCATTACATTGGCTTCCCGTAATACTGCGAGGAATGTTGGAACCATTTTTGACCAGGATCTGTCCTTCAGTGGGCTTATTAAACAAAGGTTAGGACTGCTTTCCTTCATTTGTGCAATATCTCTAAAATGAGAAACATCTTGTCTCGGATGGTTAAAATGCATTAAAATGTGTTGATGATGCACAATCATCCAGGTAAGTAAACCAAAAAAGCTGATTCAGTTCATCTGGACGTAGCGTTTTCAGTGGAAGAAACATTTCGTCAGTCATCCAAGTGACTTCTGTAGTCTCTGCTGACTGGAGGTTTGCCCAACTGTATAAACAGTACATTTGCAAAATGACTGAACCTAACACCATTGATGAACAATGGGCTGTGAGGTCAGATCGTTGACATGCAAATTGTCATGTGAAAATAAACAACAGATTCCTTATAAGGCTATCACACAAACTTAAAAGTGGAGGATAAGAGATCCTGTGTTTATATCTGACTTTACGTGCTTAAAAGCTGCCAACAAAAGTGTTTGTTGCAAGTTTAAGGAGCTTTACTTCTGCAAATATTCTACTAAAGTTATTTAGAATCGAATCATCCAAGTTAATAACCAACCCAACACAATTTCTCTATCTTTCTCCACCTCTGCAGCCCCTGAGGTCATCAGCTGCCAGCCTCTGAGTACAGCAGCAGATATGTGGTAAGCATTCAGCTCCAGCGTGTTCAGGCCTGTCGTGAGCATTACACTCTGCACAATATTTGAGTTGGTCACAGCAGAATAAACACAATTATACAGGGTTTAAACAAAACTGAATCACTGTGTTTTTCTTACATGTTGTCATACAGTAGAGTTTTTTTTGTTTTTAATTTACGCTTCATGTCTGCCTGTGCCTTGTTTCATGTTTCTTCAGGAGCATTGGAGTTATTACCTACATATTGTAAGTTGTAAGTGTTTGTATGTTGGGTGGCTTCTAAAGTACATAATTTATGGATTGTATACAAACATGTTTTGATTGTATTTGGGCCTTTAAAAGTAAAGGTAAACTTTTTCAGTTATACTAGATGGGAAATTGAAGAAAAAAAAAAGAAAGAAAGAAGGAAAAGAAAACTATTAATGTGTTTTAATGCTCAGATGAAGATGTCAGATGTTGACATGTTGTAGTTTCACTACTAAAGTGTATTGTCTTTTCTCAGATTGAGTGGTTTGTCACCATTCCAAGGCGACACTGATGAAGAGACTCTGGGAAACGTCATTGGCATGAAATACGAGTTTAATGAGCACTACTTCAGCCTGACAAGCCCCATGGCGAAAGATTTCATCCAGAAACTGTTGATGAAGAATCCAGAGTATGTCATAAAATACAATATTTTACTTGGGCACGTTAGTCTGAAATTTAATGTATTCCTCTGTTCAGTGATTAGGGATGTAATAGTGAACATCAAGATTAGGACTTCATGTCAACTAGTCCCTTCACACTAAGCACCAGGTATCCAGAGTCTAAATGTGGCTGTCCAGCTCGTTGGTGTGCACTGTACACCAACTAATGAGACACAGAATGACAAACGGAACAACGTTTGTCAGAAAGATTGGGGAAAAATTTCTTTAAGCAAACATCCCGGTGTACTTAAGACCCAGCCACACTGTCAGACAAAAACTGGTTCATCCTAAGGACAAAACTCCAAAACACAAACTAAACAACGTAGTGCATGCTGTGCAGTGCAGTAAGGAGTGCTCAGACCTCTACATTGGTGAAACCAAACAGCCCATCCATAAACACATGGCACAACATAGAAGAGCCACCTCGACAGTGCAAGGCCTATCTCTCCACCTAAAAGATAAAGATCACTCTTTCCAGGATGCCAATGTTTACAGTTTGGATGCAGAAGACAGATGGTTTTAAAGAGGAGTAAAAGTAATTTTACATTTTTATGACAAGACAAATGCATTCATCTACCAAAGGTCATGTGAAATACACTTAAATCATTGTTATCTTAATATTCTTTAGTTTGTTTAACAGCATCCAAAAATCATGGAATGTTCTGCCAAACTTTGTTTTCCTTCTACTTTAGTTTAGTAGTTTAGGTTGTAGCAAAAATGCTTAAGGATTATTACAATATATTAACTAATAGTCCTTTTCCATTAGTACCTACTCGGATTAGATTGGCGTGACTTAGATTTTTTTTTTGGGGTACCTGGTACCGGGTACATTATTAGTACCTACCTAAGTGATCCAAGGCAATCCGAAAATGTGACGTCAACAGACTGCATTGGCTAGTCAGTATGGTCACTCTATGAGTCATGCGAGCATCTCGTTTACAAAAATCAAAACCGCCGTTTTTGAAACCCGGCAACGAGAGAAATGGCCTGATAAAAAGCCATACATCGAGCAGTAGGTACCGTTGCCTCCATGTCCTCCGTTCATGTTGCATACAAATAACGTCATGGGATGTTCGGCCGTGTTGTACCTCACGCCATTAGGTGAGGTTGTTAGTAATTTAAAACGGATCAATCTGAGTAGGTACTAATGGAAAAGGACTATAAAAATAAATAATGATCTCTCATCATTCCTTACACGTCAATGCATATTGCAGAGACAGAATGACAGCTGAGGAGTGTCTGCTTCATCCATGGATTAAGGTTAGCGCCAGTCTGTCATTTCTTCTGCACTACTTTTGTTGTTGTGTTACCGTGTTGTCAGCCATACATGTTGTCATTGTTTCAGCCCATCACACCTAAACAGGTTGCCAAAAGAAATCGATCCTCAATTAATATGAAGAACTTTAAGAAGTTCAATGCCCGAAGGAAGTGGAAGGTGAGTCTGGATATTTATGTTAAGAGACATTTTAAAGCATATTTTTGTGCGTTAGACCAGCAGTAAAACCAAATTAATCCATGTATCCAGTTTTAAAGTTCTGTAGCTGGTGTGGGCGAAGTTAGGATAGCCACCTTTAGCTCTCTCCGAGCAGATTGTAACAAGCAGCCAGGAAAACAGACTGGGTGGGTTACCGTGAGGAGAAAGCGTAGTCCTAAACAGAAGGCCAGGGTACACTACCAACCTGTTCACGTCTCTAACAGTTTTTGCCCACTCTGGGACACACCCACCGAGAAGAATTCTCTGGTTCCTGGCGATACTGTTTTGAGACACGTGAAGTTAGAGACACAAGCAACCATAAGGAATTGTCTTCCAGAGGCCATTCATTGTTATCAGGATGTTCTAAAATCTAAAACAAAATCTTATTGTCCAGGACCTCTGCTACTCCTAGCGTACCCTCACTATATATTTGTGTACATTAGCCCTGTCTGGCACCCTCCCTAGCAATGGTTAAATCCTTATGTAATAAAGAGGATATATGTTGTACCGTAAAATACTCCATCATGGTTACATGTTACGAAAAAGTATTAAAAAAATACCACTTACGAGGACATTAAACTGCTACTTTTGTATCGAAATTTAAAACGAATGAATGAGGCAATTCTTTGTTTTTATATTCATCAGGTCCCAATCAGCCCAAATAGCAAAGAGAAATTAAAAATGCCATGAAAGAGTTTGGGTCTTAGGAGGTTAAAGTTCACATAATGGGTTAAAAATGAACGTTTCCTTAGAAGATACTGAACTAATGTTATTTGTGATGGATGTAAAACATTCTTCCCTGTCACCTTCTAGATGTCTTACAATATGGTGTCGGCATGTAATCGGCTCGTAAATTTGAGACTGCCACGTAAAGACACCCTGAGTCCAGATCCACTACAGGTGAGACATCATATTTAACTGAAAAGTGGAGTTAAATTAAATGGAGAATCTAAATGTGAGTGCGAGTGGTTGTCTGTCTCTGTGTTAGTCCTGTGTCAGGCTGGTGACCCGTCCAGCTGTTACCCTGCCTCTCACACTTGGGTGAAGTAATGAACTTTAAAGCTGCTCAGATGTCATCAGTGTGTGTATGGTGCTGTTGAATTACTGTATTTTTCGGACTATAAGGCGCAATATCAATGAACAGGTGTATTTTCATACATAAGGCTAATAAAGCGAAACAAAACTGTCAGATAAGTCAAACTTTATTCAACTCATTCACAATAACTCTCAACATTGTTCAGTTGTAACAATAAAATACAGAACAATACACTTTTTCAGTTCATTCCTCTTCCTCAAATTCTTCATCTTCAGGGTCTGAGTTTAACAGTTGGGTGATTTTGGCCCGTAAGCACGTCTCATTATGGGGTCCTTATACACACACACACCATAATGTGACGTTGAAGCAGAGTACGTATGACTCCGCGAGGCTCCTGACTACGGTAGCTGTAATGCTCCAACAAGCGGTGCAGCTTTATAGCTTAGCAAAGTCGTACTAAAACATTTTGACAGATTTGTGAGCGTCGTGTACCACGTAAAGATGTTTCAAGGTCAGTAAGCACAACCAGAGTGTCGATTTCTGAGAAAATTAAAGGATTTTAAGCCTTATAGTCCGAAAAATACGGTAAGTACTTTATGAATAGGTGTATGTGGCTGTTATTGTTAAGTGCTTCGACGTATTGATAATGTGCATGAATACATTTCTGAGTTACAAAAGGTGGGAGTAGAAAATGTTAATACGTGGATGGAGTCAAAGAAATAACAAAGACTGTTTTAGAAGTGTAACGTCAGAGTTGAAGTTAGGTACATGTTCAAATGATATAATTCAAATCTGCAATACAAGCTTCATGAGGCACAGTCACGTAGATTTGTAAGTGAAAAGTGCTGACAGCTGTAATGATGCTTTTCTGCAGAGGCAATGTGAAAGCGACGTAGAGGACACTGAGAGCAAGCCGGCCTCGCTGCTACGGCGAAGACTCAGCAGCAGTTCATAGAGTTGAGCAGAGGAATGCGGAGCAGTCCAAGCTGAAGATGAGGCTCCCTGAAACCAAATGATTTCTGTTACCTTGTTCGAGTGTAATGGGTGACCTAATGTTGTTACACACTCGACATTTCAGAAGTGCCTGGAACAGAAGCGTGTCCTCATTTGAAGTGTGTTTCTTTACGAAAGACATTTAAAAAAAAAATCAGTTGGAAACTTTGGGTGGGCTGTGTAATAATGTCTTCAATGATGCTTTATCAGCTGTAATGTATGTGGATGGTTACGGTTCTTGAAATGTCTCTGATAACAAAATGTGGCCAGAAAAGCTTTTTTCTGTGCAGAGCAACGTCAAACTCATGTTATGCCCGTGTCTTCCACGCCTTTTTCAATGACGGTAATGCTTCATGTCATCAGCCAAATGGAAATGCTCGGCCTGTTTTTAATGTTACCAAGTGATGTCCAACAACTATAGACTACAACATGACTTATACCTGAATTTGGACAGCTCATGGCAGCGCTGGCAAACACAAATACCAATGTTTTCATTACCTGTTTGTTTATGTTGAAAGCATCCCCGTGTCTTTTCTAAAAGACTGCTTCACATAATTAACAAAAATGTGAAAGTTAGTTTTTCCTGTTTTAGCAACTGCCTCCATTTTTCCGGCCGTTATATCACAGTTTTACACTCGCTCATAAACAGCTGTTGTTTTTACAGTTTTCAAAGTAACCACTACTGTCATTTTCATGTTTGTGTAAGGCTGAAAACATTGGAAGGTTTTTAAAAATGTAATTTCTTACATCTCACCAACTACAACTACCCGAGATGAACAGACTTCAATCTACTGCTATTATTGTTAGGTTGTAAGTGTTTAAGATTTTGTACTGCAGATGAAAATATACAATCATACTCTGTTCTTAATAACTTATAAGCACTGCATTACTTCTCTTGTGATGTATCATTTTGAAATGGCTTAATCATACACGTGCATGTCATTACATACAACAATTTGTATTTTTAATGTCATTAAATGTCTGCTGGCTTCATCCGAGACTTGAACAATTAGTATTTTTAAATACTGCCAAATTTCTCACTTTCTTTTAGCTGCTGACGTTACCATTAATACGGTTTCATGACAGTAATGAGCTATATTTGGCTATGTGACCCTGTCGCACTTCTTTTAACTAAGAATCAGGAAGTTGTCTTCTTCTGCGACGTTGTGTTTACAGACAGCATTTTAATCCTTTTTCTTTTCTGGGTGTAAATGTGACAGGGCTCGGTGCTGGTTCAAACTGTATAAGCTGCTTCAAGCATTATTTGTGAAGAGTCACATTAAATTACTAAAAACATTAACTAATAATGCTGAGATGTATTATTTTAACAAGCCTTAATTATTTTCTAAATAACTGAAAGGAATTAAAATTGAATTCATACTGAATTTACTGATGTATAACCTCCAGAGACCCAGAAGAATTAGTTTTGTTTAGATAAGTAAGAAAAACAATCTTCCCCAAAATTGTTTATTTCTTTTTAAATCTTCTTTCTCTTAAAATGGGCACCAGGTCTTATTTGATCATAAAGTGATAAGATGGCTGAGTGACACAGAAACACGTTTTACTCAGAACTGTGGAAGTGAAATCAGGAGGTGGCGTGGGGGAGGACTGTACCAGAATATACGGGTAAAATAAGTACAGAACATGTCACCAAAGGGGGGGAAGAAACGTTTTGAACACGCTTACTGAAGTGTATTTAATATTTGGTACAAAAGTCTTTGTTGACCGCGTCAAAACACCTACAGTGTGGAGAAACTAGTCCGATGCTCAGGTGTGATTTTAGCCCGTTCTTTGTGGAAGAATGGGCTAAAATCACACTTCTTCTTCTATGAACTATGAGTTTTAGTTCTTTCCATAGATGTTAATTTGGACTGAGGTCAGTTGATTGGCTGGGTCATTCCAGGAGCTTTATTTTCTTATTCTGAAACCAATGGAGAGTTTCCTTGGCTGTGTTTGGGATCATCCACCCTTATTTCATCTTCATCATCCTGGCTGCAGAATTTTGCTGATTTTTCTTCCTTCACTTCCAAACCATGAAGTTCCCACCTCCATTGGTAGGGTGTTTTTTGGGGTGATTTGCAGTGACATGGTGGGTATTATGCCATCCAAGGAGTTCCATTTTGGTTTCATCTGACCAGTTGATATTCTCCCAGTATCTCCCAGGCTTGCGTACCGGCCATGGTAGTTGAGTGCGTGACATACTGTTTGCTTTGAAACATTCGTGCCTGTTGAGGTCTTTCTGTAGCTCTCCCCAGGTGGTCCTTGGACAACTCTGATAATTAGTTTCATTCCTCCGTCTGAAACCTTGCAGGGAGCACCTGGTCGTGGGTGATTTCTGGTGAAATTATGTTTTTTCCACTTCCAGATTATGGCCCCAGTATTAATGTGACACACTGTACTGTACTCTGTGTTGAGAAATCCAGGAAGTCTTTTATGAAGCACTTCTTGAGGTCGAGTGAAATTACTGATGACGTTTCAGAAAGTGGTTTGGGTGCTGGTGTGATTTATGAACATGCAAAGCAACAATGGATTCCTGCAACATGTGCATATTAGAGTTAGTTTCACCTGTGATACAGAGGAACTTGCTTTTATGGAAACTGCTGAAAGGAGAGGGGTTTCCTACCGTATGACAACACTGTCAACTCATCTCTCTCGATAACATACTACCCATACTGTTCACAAGTCTGTTCTTTTTTTTATTCCAAGGTGAAGTTGTAATGTGCCAAGCAACGTGGGTACAACATCATGTGATCTATGGGAATCACTAGGCAGAGGTGCATATAGCCAAGCCTATGCAGGCTTGCTGTGTGATACTCGTGCTTCTCAGCACCATGTGTGAGGCTTTTCTCCAAAGCTGGAGATACTCCCAAATAGAGAAACTGGGTGAGTCGAGCACAGTTGAAATTTCTTTTATTTCTTAATAAAAAGGAATAAATCACTCTGGAGCTTTTTAAACATAAACCTATCATGTCAAAGGATTTACTTAAACATTGAGTGAAATCTTACTATAAGTGTCAAAAAACCTTCGACATTGATAGACCTTTATTACCATCACTTACACATCAATCACAAAAATTAGATGAAAAAAAAATCACGTTTTGTTTATTACATTTCTATTTGCCCTGTGAATATTGTGGGTCAACTGTAATCAGAGCACCACCTGCTTGGTGGTTGTGGTTGGTTGTTGGCATTGTCCTGTTTTCATGTTTCATTCTAAAAACTCAATTTCAGTTTGGGTGAAATTCAGTTGATAAAGACACTAGACACAGTTTATTCCACGTTAGGTATATATGTTGTTAATTACATAAAGGATAAAAGAAGCACTCCAAACTATTAGCATGTGAGTTAATTTAACTGAAAAGGTTCCCATTTAGATCCTGTCATACCTTAAAACTTCAGATCCCTGCATTAAAAGGTTCTTCATATTATGGATGGTACGAGCAATCGGTCACACTGTCCCTCCTCAAGCTCCTTTAAAGCTGATATGTGCTCCTCTAAGTTTTCTCTGAGTGACTCTGCTTCCACAGTTCTGCTTCCTGAAGTGTAGACAATGGTTGAAAGTGTGAGGTAGAAAACCCTGCTGCTACAAAGGACAGTGAATAAAAGTTTTGTTCTGGAAGGGATAAAATTCCTGTGCATTTCTGAAATCCTACAAAATCAATGTTAAGACTCTCAAACTGAAGAAATATTATAATTTATAATTGTGGCATCAATAGAAAGCCCAAGAGCGCAGCAGGAGTCATATCAATTGCATAAATTGCTGTTGGAAAATAATAATATGATATAATGTGTATGAGAAGTGTATTTTACACAATACATGGGAGCGCACACTCGTGTGTGTTTGTATTTAGAGCCCATTGAAAAGACAAACATGACGGACATGTGACACTGATCCTCTATAATAAGGCACATTTAATCTTATAACACTTAAGAAAAAAATAAAATAGCCCTTTATTGTTATTATAGATAATAACAATAAAGGCCTATTCAGAAAGAAATTGTCGGTGCTCCACACTGACTGTGCTGGATTCAAGCAAAACACAGAATTCAGAACAGAGGGCGAGAAGATAGGACGGAGAGATAGCAGCCAGATACGGAGAGAAAGAATACCAGATGGAATAGATCAGTGGTTCTCAAATTTTTCACAATAAGTACCAGCTCGTAAAATATATGGCTCTTAACCCTTATGACCAACATTAAAGTACAGTAGTATAGGCCTATTTAACACCACATTCAGTTTACACGAGAAAACTTTGTTATATGAATGTTATTTATTTTAACTGTCATAAACAGGATGCGACAAGTGATAATAACACCAAGTGTACTGCATTAAAACATTCACAGCAGGTAGGATATCCGGTCTTCAAGTGATGATGTGATAAACCCTGCTTCCTGTTTTAACACGTTTTAATCTTGTTCTATTTAATTTCAACAAGCCCCTAAAGAAAGTCAGTGATCACTGTCGGCCTCTCTCAGTTTTTATTACAACCATGCAGCAGTATATGAATGACTAACCTCGTATTGTGGATGGATTTTCTCAGTTGTTCTCCTGGCTGAAGTTTGGTCTGTTTACAGCATCCTGCCATGCGATTACATTTGTCTCTAACCATCGGGAACCCTCACGTTAACTTTTATCCAGTGGAAAAAAGTTAGCGTTCATCCTCCAGCCTCACTGTTTTTGTGTTATGCTAACCATGGCTGTGTAGCTAGCCACCACGTAGCCCATCATTATATCTGTGTCCCAAAACGTAGGCTGCATCCTTTGGAGGCCTCATTCGTAGACTCCTCCAAATGCGTCCTCCTTTTCCCCAGATCTGAATGATGGGTCAGGCATATACTTTGTGGCCCACCATATCCCAGGATTCATAGCGCGGCCCAGCCAATTCCAGTTTCCAACAATGGCGGCAGCTGCTTAGCTTTAATATTACTTTTATTACGCTTTCTGGAACACAAAATAAACTTTGAAGATATTTTCAGGCGAGAATGTAGCTGTGCAAACTTCAAATATCTGCTCAGTTTAAATATCTGCTTGGTTTATCAAGACATCACATATTTGCAAAAGTGCTCCGATGTTTTCAGAGACATCTGTCACCCACCAGCTTGATAGCTAGCTGGGGGTTCAAGGGTCACTAGAGCTGGTGAG